GTTCATCACAAAAAGCTTCCTTTTGCATATCAATTATAACAGTCATTTGATTTATTATTAATAAATAGTCAAGTGCAGCAATACGGAATAGCAATGTAATGTCTCATTGCCCAACTAGTAATTATTCAACTTTTAAAATTGTATTATCTCATCCTATAATTAAACTAATTGATGCCCCAGTACAACCCATTGTTGACTTTATTACATTAAAATGCCTGAGGGAGGTTCATTCAAAATACTACATATGTATTAGTGTTTGCTTTATCCTGAATTACCGGCTGAAGGGTTCGGTTTATGTAGTTAAATGGTTTGTGAATGATCAAACCGAGACAGATGAGCTTACAATCTCAGAAATCTGAGACCGTAGAGCTTTCTCACGGCAGACATGGTGACTTTTCAGAGCAGGAACAGCACAGGTGTGACTTATAATGTTAACGATGGTTCCATTGAGCCAGAACGTACAATGCTGGAACCAGAACAACTAAAACAGGTTTCAATTGAGGTGGCCAGTAAAATAACAGTTTATATTGAATTTTTGCTCCCTGGTTCGGCTTTTCAAGACACAAACATGGAAAGAAACCATCATTAGTGTAACTAGCACTCTCTGTGCTTCTTCTTCTATACGTTTCAGTTCTTTAGATGGTGTAAACCCCATGTTGAGATGCTAATGAGAAGCCACCCTGTCTCTATAGTTGTAATTTATGTTAGTAAGTGTTAACCTTCTTTAAAGTTTGACAGCAGCACTCTTCTAGTTTTTTACCACAAAATACTTCAATTTTCTCCTGTAGATTTAGCCAGTTCCTCTTACAATTAAATATTAAATAATACAAATAAATATGTACCAGCCATTTCTAATTCATTGAACACTCCCTTGTACGCTTGTACTTTACTTTTGAGCAGTTCTGTTATGAGCTACAGTATTTTACTAGCTCCCACCAAAACAAGGCAGCAGTGCAACCGTAGGACTGTCTGTTGCTAGGATACATACACTGAACAAAAATATAAACGCAACACTTTTGTTTTTGCTCCCATTTTTCATGAGATGAACTCAAAGATCTAAAACATTTTCTATATACACAAAATAACCATTTCTCTCAAATATTGTTCACAAATCTGAATAAATCTGTGATAGTGAGCACTTCTCCTTTGCCGAGATAATCCATCCCACCTCACAGGTGTGGCATATCAAGATGCTGATTAGACAGCATTATTATTGCACAGGTGTGCCTTAGGCTGGCCACAATAAAAGGCCACTCTGAAACGTGCATTTTTGCTTTATTGGGGGGGTCTGGGGGGGTCCGAAAACCAGTCAGTATCTGGTGTGAGGGGTAGGGTTAGGGTAATGTTGTGAATCGAGTGGCCCATGGTGGTGGTGGGGTTATGGTATGGGCAGGCGTATGTTATGGACGACGAACACAGGCCACTCGATTCACAACATTACCCTAACCCTACCCCTCACACCAGATACTGACTGGTTTTCGGACCCCCCCAGACCCCCCAATAAAGCAAAAATGCACGTTTCAGAGTGGCCTTTTATTGTGGCCAGCCTAAGGCACACCTGTGCAATCAGCATCTTGATATGCCACACCTGTGAGGTGGGATGGATTATCTCGGCAAAGGAGAAGTGCTCACTATCACAGATTTTTTCAGATTTGTGAACAATATTTGAGAGAAATGGTTATTTTGTGTATATAGAAAATGTTTTAGATCTTTGAGTTCATCTCATGAAAAATGGGAGCAAAAACAAAAGTGTTGCATTTATATTTTTGTTCAGTGTAGTTATACTGTAGTAGAACGGTTTCCATAGAAATATCTGCATAGCTAAAATCAGTGTCAGATATTTGTCACATAGATTTATTTCACATTTCATTTCTGAAATTACTTACACTTCAACAGCCTGTAAATGCAGTAGAAAATATCCCATTCTGCCAAAAATGTAAATGTAACTCTGGCAAGGCCTAATACAACTTTTAATACACATATCTGTGGAGTAGTAGTAGTTATTGATTTGGATAGAAAATACAAGCTTGAAGGCCCCACACCGGCCTGTTGCCCAGACACGAGTGATGTGAGAACAGTTCAGTTATTGGCTGGCATGCCACCGCGGGATCCCGAGCTCTAAATCAATGATGGTGTTGTCCATTTGCTCCACTCTGTTCCAAATCACTCTGAGTCTATCTTTCAGCTGAAATCCCCGCTGAGATGCACTGTTATGCAAGAGGTTACATTTGGGGATTAGCACATCATTTTCAAGGGTAGACATCAAGAATGCAACAGCATTTATAGGTCACAAATCCCATGCTGTTGTCATGTTTTATACATGCAACAAAAGGTTGATACAGCGCTTATGCTCATATGTGCTATATACTCTTTCTTCGACTTTATTTAACTATATCAAGCTCAAAGTCATGATTTCAAATACAAATATATTGTACTTTGTGTAGCACACCACAGTCATGTTGAATCCCCTGTTGCTGTGCTGCATTTCAATCAGTCCTTGATATTTTTCAGGGACCCACAAGTATTCAATCAAAAGATTACTGTCATTTCTAAACACATTCACAGCATAGTTTTTCTCAACCTGCAGATAGTCAGTGTTTTAGAGATAACTGCTGAAATGCAATATGATCTACCAGATGATTCCCGGGTTGTGCTGATCTTAATTCCTCTCCTATGAGTTTGTGTCTTTGCTGCTGTTTCTACATGAGCTGTATGCAGTGTGCGTGATATAACATGGCCACAGCCGTCATCTAAATCACCACTTTCAGCTTCTGCCTCAGGGCTAAGGTACAGAATCACCCGTGTGATGGAAAAACATCCATTGCAAAAATTGCAATTGCCTCCAAATATCTCGATCAGTAAGAACTGCCAGTTAAAACATTTAAAGCTGGCTTGATACAACACTTTAAATATATTTATTACACCTTGATCTCACCATATAGTACCTGCGACTCCTTTAAATGTGACTTATGTTGTGTATGGCTTTCATATGTAATTGATTTGATATTATGTGTTTCAGTAGCTTTTGCATACAGATTTACTGTGTAGACGATAAGTATTTATATTCTATTGTTATAGTTCCTATGCGGTGTTTGTGTCTCATTCTCAGCAATGCATGGACATGTATGTGTGTGTGCTGCTTCCTGTGTGTGTCCGTTGCATAAGAGGATCTGCTGCTGTCCCAGAGCTTAACGAAGGATTTAAACCTCTCTTTCTCACTCTCTCTTGCACTCTCTCCTCCTGTGTCGTATGTCTCTCCAGCGCTCTCTGTTGCACTCTATCTAATCTCTGTACTTGCGTATTGAAGGGAGGGTGATGTCATTGTTTGTTGAATAAGTCTTGTGCGTATACAGATTGAATGTTTGCTTATCTCGAAATGTCTGAGCAGGAAAATGTATTTATTTTCGATGGCACCTGCTCAAACACACAGAACTCATTCCGACGGGTAATTTATTATGTTTGCTAATGAATATCTTCAAACTTTAATGATTGACACACATAAATATGGTGACTTCATTTGCTTTCATTAATTGGTAATTAATGGCATGTTTAATGAGGAATATTTGATTATAACGCAGGTATTCCCTCCTTAGTCATCCTCCAACAACTAGTCTTTGTTGTTGTTGGCTACTCTGAACACCCCCATGAGTATAACACAAAAAATCAATTCTTACCATTTTACAGTCGGCTGACAGAGAGGCTGGGCTCGCTGGTGATCTAAAAAAAAAAACTCATCTCAGCACAACGACATTTTGTCTAAAAAGCTGCTTTGACTGTTGGGAATATGATATTTTTAAATGTATTTACTATTTTTCATTGTATTTTACGACCCTTAACTTGTTTTATTGTTGCTGTTTAATATGTTCACCATATCCACAATGATAACAGCAGAAGGTTAATGTTACACTTGATTAATCTGTAAGGAAATGACTGCAACATACACTAAATCAGCTGTGGCCTTATCAGTTTAATTGACATACTCATATTCCACTTTCTAAAGATAAGACCTCATACTTTAAATAATACGTATTGAATTCTAAATTATTTGTTTTTTTGTCTCTGCTTTCAATATTTAAAAGGTGGGTTTGAACAAAGGGCCAATGTTAGCTCTGTATTCTTTCTATCAGACCTCTATCCTACTGTAGGTCCCTCACTATAGATGAGTGTCTGTGGCTTCCATCAAAATATGATTTAATTAAACAGACAGCATTCTTATTAAAAGACACACCAAGCATGTTACACTAGAGATTCACCATTTATTTAGAATTTTCTGGGCGATTCAGAAACGGTCAATTCAATTGTATGCTTCTAAAGCATTGACTATTAAATAACTTACATTTTCTCTCTACATGTATATCAAAAACACAATTGCCCCAGGTAAATCACATCAAGAGTAAAATGGTTCATTAAATCTATATAACAACACACTTTGTGTCTATTCCTCCACAGCTTATTTTGGACGTGCAGGGGGTAAAAATGGACATGTGTGTCAATTTGACCGGAAAGACATCTGATAAATGTTGGTTCGCTTGCCATCCATCATTGGTGCCCCTGTAAGCCTCCTAACATTGCCTCTTTCTGCGTCCTGACAAACCCTTCATCAGCAAAATAAAACCAGTTGAACCGCTTCAGCAGCAAGTCATATTTGTTGTTAAGTCTGCCAGCTCCACCTACAGTACCTAACGTTTCGCATCGAGATCAAAGGGGCAGATTCCAGTCAAGAATGCTTGAAAACACCAGGTGCAAAGCCCTGTTATAAGAAGTCATTTATATAAAAATATCAGTTACAAATATCAGATACATTTAATGGTGATGATGTTAAGGTTAGAAATGAAAATAGTAATGAAGATTCTGACAGTGAGTGGTGGGGATGAGTGTAATGGTATTGAAGATAATGACCTCTTGTGTTTGTTTGTGCTGGAGGAAAGCCCCCTGCTGCACTCTCTGTTCAGCTGGGTTACTTCTCACTGATTTACATTGTGTTTCTCTGTCTGTTGCAGATTGACTTGGAGCCGGAGGGGAAGGTGTACGTGGTCATTGATCTGTCCGGATCCTCCACTGAAGGTAAAACCACCACAAGACCTTTTTTTCTTCTACTAAAACTGAGGGAATCTCACTTTCAAACACATGCAGACACGGTGGTATGTGATAGTTCAGTTTTAAGCAAACTAGATATGGAAAACGTCTGCCTCAATCTGCTGCGGAAAGCTGCTGAAAACACTTCATAGAGCTTTCAGTGAAAATGATCTGGGTTCGTCACTATAAGGAGCTTCTTTGCCACATTACACAAAGTCATTTGGCCCATTGTTGATGGAAAGAGCGTTGCTTTACAGATGACATTTTGGTGAGGATTAAAAAAACGAGCTTAAATATGACACTGTTAATAAACTGTTAATAAACTTTTCAATCAATCACACCCACTTTTGTTTGTCTATCAGGTGCAAGCAGGTGGTAAGGTAGAATAAAAGAATATATGTATATTTCATATTATTAAATAACGTCATGCCTTGTATTACTCTGTATTTCCATAATATCCCCAAGGACTTATCAGATTGGGTCTTTTAACATGAACTTAAAGCAGCTTTAACTTATATTTTATAATAATAACAACACATCAAATGACAAAGTAAGAACACTTTATAACAGTGACTCATAGTATGATCCTACAGAGAAATATCTGAAGCTCCCGTCTGTTTTAACGGAGCTCTATTGTAAGTTTTAGCTAATTGTTTAGTGGTTAGGCCATCACCAGTCTCATAGTGTCATTCTTTGGCTATAGCAGGCTACTGTGTTTATATAAAGAGCTGTAAACATTTTCTTTATACTACCTGCTCAGCACCAAACTGCAGAAAAACACAGAAGGTGACAAGCTTGTGAACATCTTGGAACATTTTGCAGCTAAAACCGTCAGATATTCCTCTGAAGTGTTGGTAGAGACCTCAGGCAGTGCTAAAAGTAAGACAGACTTATATTCATCAGGTGGACAAAACATGACTCCAAATGAATGATAATGTCTCTCTGTAACTGCTGGATGTGTAAATGTCCAATTTAAAGGGTATACATATGTTAATGTTGTGTTCACTCCTTGTTTTCGCTGCCCCTTAGTTGAAAAACACAAACAGTTTTTGCCGGTTTAGCATAATTTAGTGCGCACACATCCTCTGCAATCACTGCCAGTTTACTGCATTAAACCTAGAGGCCATAGAGAGCGATGGAAAGATAACTTCCTGTTTTCTCCGAAAGTTACTCAACAGAATTCAAAGAACTTTCTCCTTCACTCTGTTCTTCTCCATTTCCTTATCCTCTATTTGTTTGATTTCATTAACCATGAAAACATTTAGAATATATCCCTCTCACACCTTTTCTGCATACATACACTCTGCTGCCTGATAAGAGAGGTTTTCACCTGCACCTGGATACGTTCACACCTGGTTATAAATAGAAACTGTTCTTTGCCTTCCAGTGAAAGTGTGCATGTATATTCAGAATGTATATATATATATGTGTGTGTGTGTGTGTGTGTCTGAGGTTGCAGCAGTAGAGGGCAGAGAGAGAGAGGGAGTAGATTCTTAAAATAGTAGGTGAGATTGAGCCATGGATTACACACACACACACACCATGTGCAGACTCAAGTGTCAGTGTCTTGCCCTCCTCATCGATGATTGGGTACTCTGTGATTACCTCACGACCCATTCCCCGCCCACTCCTGAACTTCCTCCCTGAGTTCAGCTGGCATGAGTGCTCATGATGTTAATGTATGCTGATAAAAAGTGTGTGGTTGTGTGTGTGTGTGTGTGTGTGTGGTGTGTGTGGGTGTGTGTGTGTGTGTGTGTGTGTGTGTGTGTGTGTGTGTGTGTGTGTGTGTGTGTGTGTGTGTGTGTGGTGTGTGTGTGTGTGTGTGTGTGTGTGTGTGTGTGTGTGTGTGTGTGTGTGTGTGTGGTGTGTGTGTGTGTGTGTGTGTGTGTGTGTGTGTGTGTGTGGGTGTGTGTGTGTGTGTGTGTGTGTGTGTGGTGTGTGTGTGTGTGTGTGTGTGTGTGTTGTGTGTGTGTGTGTGTGTGTGTGTGTGTGTGTGTGTGTGTGTGTGTGTGTGTGTTGTGTGTGTGTGTGTGTGTGTTGGTGTGTGTGTGTGTGTGTGTGTGTGTGTGTGTGTGTGTGTGTGTGTTGTGTGTGTGTGTGTGTGTGTGTGTGTGTGTGGTGTGTGTGTTTGTGTGTGTGTGTGTGTGTTGTGTGTGTGTGTGTGTGTGTGTGTGTGTGTGTGTGTGCTGATAGGAGGGATGGATAGTTTGAGGGTGAGAACTAGAGGATGAGGTGGTATTTTTAGCAGATTTATTTTCCTTTTTTCCCTGGGTGCAATCTGTTCTCTCTGCAGCTTCAGAGGCTGGAAGGAGTCGTTCCTCTCCTCTTTCCTCCTCTCCTCTTTCCTCCTCTCCTCTCCTTGTACATCTGTTGGTCTCAGGAAGCAAATCAGAACAGTAATCTGACCTAATCTCACCATCTGCGATTTCTCCCTCTCTTTTTCTTCATCCTTTTCGCTTCCCTTATAAATATTTTATTCACATCCCCCCAAGATTAAAAGATAACCTTCATGACTGAAGACTTTTAATAACAAGACTAATGTTTAATTCATTTTATTTTTACGACAAAACTATACTTTTTAAAAGTCTACTTTTTATATCTTGATCCAAATAAATAACGCGTTGGCACTGTTTTGGGGAAATGAATGACATAGATTCAGTGCATCATTTAAATTCCCACAATTTGGCATAACATTATAATAATACCATGTCATCTTTGTCATCTTTATGCCACTTTAAAAACAAGTTTTCAAAGTTCTTAACAGTAGAAATAACAGAGCAAAAGCAAAATGACTGTTTATCAAAAGGGCTTTATGATCAAGAGTATGGTGAAATAATTCTCCAGTTAAAACAGTCAGAAACAAACACATATCAACACATGATTTTCTCAAATCACCCTTAATGCTTATTATGTATCTACATACTAAATTATACCTCAGCCTATTGTTAAGGCAGTTTTACCTACATTTGTTTTTATTTTGTCGTATAATCTTTGGTTTACATGAACGCCATCATTCATCATTTAACCTCTAATAGTGCTGTGTCATAAGCCATACAAGTTAATGTAACCTCTTTAAGAAAATAATATAGCATTTACAAAACTAATGTCACAAAACAAGCCAAAAGTGTTTCAATCTTAAGGTGACTTTGTTCAGATGTATCCAAAGTCTTATAAACCTTATAAGAGAAATCCAAAATATGAAGAAAAAAAATCTCAACTGCTTAAATTTGAGTAAAACTGTCCTCAGCCTATTCAAAATGTTGTTTTATTAAATCCTGAAAGATTGTTTGAGGAGCTGCTACAATCCCAATACCTCAAATGACTGCAACTTAATTGAATATTGCATAATATCTATTGTTTTGTCTAGTTATCTTGTCTTTTGATTCCTTTAGAATATTAACCATATTCTAGATGTTTGTATACATGTATCTACAACTATTATTGGGGAAGCAGATGGATTACTGCCACGCTTGTATTGTTATTCATTTTTCTGTCATATTTGTTTGTATCACCATCTGCAGTTCAGCTTTCCCTCTTCTCTGTCCCCGCTGCCTGCTGCTCGTCTACATGTCTATCTTCTGTCCGTCAATATGTGTGCGTTTATTGGACGGCCTTCTCCCAGTTGGTCATTCATCTGAACCAGAGCACGTCTGTCTCCACGACGATCGCTCTTAACTGTTGTTATGCCTCCTTGTCAGCATGCCTGTGTGTGTCAGTGTGTGTGTGTGTCCAGGACAGATGGATGATGTATTATGTAAAACAAAGTGATCCCAGTAATGGCCTGCTAAGCTGTCTCCCCCCTCACATCAACACCACCATCCACACACACACACACACACACACACACACACACACACACACACACACACACACACACACACACACACACACACACACACACACACACACACACACACAGAGTCCCTCGGCAGCTTGTCTGTAATCGAACTCAGCAGTAACCACATCTATAACGGACCCGGGAGAGAGATGGAGGGAGTGTGAAAGAAAGGCGAACTAGGACAGAAGCGCAGAGAGAGGAGTGTGTGTGGGAGTGAGAGTGGAGGTGGTTCTCTTGTCTTAAGGTTACCCTCGGAAACCATTTATCTTTTTCCGGGAAGATGCAGAGAGGAAGGGAACGGCTGGTTGGATGCTGCTCGCTGAGGAGGAGTATTTTAATATGCTGTCCTTCGTTTTAGTGCCCACACATGAAAGTATAAATAGCATGCACACGCACGTATGCATACATAGGCCTCTGGTAGGTGTGGGATGTTTGTGAGGAAGAGGAAGGGAGGAAAGGGGGGGGGGGGGTTGAGAGGCCGTTGAATGATTAAACATCTCAAGCAACATGATGCAAAATGATCCTTATTTGTACAAAGCATCTCAGTAAGTAACATCGATGGGCCTTAACAAAGAATAGGTGAAACAAAATGTAAAAAGTAACAAAAAAAAGTGTGTAAATTAAAGAAAATGTTGGTGTGAGACTTTTAACATGACCATCTTCCTCTGTGTCTTTATCATTCTCTTTTCATATTCCTCAAAAGCTTAAAGAAAAGCTAAAGCACTTAAAATGACCAGAGTCATGTTTCTTTTCTTATTTTTCCAGTGCAATAGCTTTACTGTGTAACCTTAAAGCACTGTATGTTTTGAAAGTAATATTCAAGAATCAGTGATACATTTAGATTCATACCCATTAACATGTGTGCTCACTCCACAGCCACGGGGACCAATGAGAATGAGGAGCGGGTGTTTCGAGAGAGGATTGGCCCTCGCCGGCGACAGGGCGCCGTCCGAAGACGCGTCCATCAAGTCAACGGACACAAGTTCATGGCCACATACCTGAGGCAACCAACCTACTGCTCACATTGCAGAGATTTCATCTGGTAAGGCAACACAAACACATATCAGCCTGATCTGATGTACCTGCTGCTGAGTTTCATTAAAACCAACCTCCTGTGTGTGGGATCCAACAGGGGCGTGCTGGGGAAGCAGGGATACCAGTGTCAGGGTGAGTACTTTTCTGCAGGAATCCAATTTCGATCATTTATTATTTAAGCAGGAGAACACAAGTGGGATTACATGTTGCTGAAGGACAGCTGTGATTTGGTCTCAAGCCACCTCCGCCCAGAGCCACAGATGGCCTGCATTTCTCCAACAGCATCCACTTTAAAAATGCTAATGAGCATTCACTTTTTTAATACATATGTTCTGCAAACATCCTTAAAACTTTAGCTGGGAGTGTGAATCAACTCATATATTTGATACTTAATCTTTGCTCGGACGAGGTTCACAAGGAATTACAATCATATATTAATAATTAATTGTAACTGTTAGATATTGTAGAAATAATTAAATATGTTTTCATTGAAAGTGATGCAGGGTTTCACTGGATTGTCCAAAATGATGAATATTAATCTGATATCTGATATCATTTTCTTCAGTTTAAACTGTGTATACTAGAGAAGCACAGATTTATATGCCGAACAAAGGTATCAATATTTGCCTTGTTGACTGCCATCGACCTATAGGCATATAGAGAATGACATTCACTGGCAAATGTTCCTCTGTTGGTTTGGAGTAACTTTGCGATGGCTAAACGTTGTTTAAATTATTTGCGATCAGGGTCCAACAACAGTAGTTAGCATGCTGCTATGGCAGCTGCTGATTCAGAGAAGAAGCCACTGGCTGCACACAACACTGGCAAGTCAATTGTCTTTGTAAACACTTAACTTTTTCAAATTTAAGTTTCATAAACATCATATTTGTTGGGCTATGAAAATACATTTAAATAACATTCCTCTCATAACTGAAATCCTGTTTCAAAGGATGAATAAATAACACATAGAAAACCTAATAAACAACAAAAAACGTGGTTGTCAGCATGGGCATTTGACCACATTTTTTAAAACATTGGTATCGGCCAAGTATTTCACAATCGGTGTATCCCTACTGTTAGCAACACTTTGTTGAGGCTTTGTAAAATCAAATGAAACAGTTTAAGAAGTTATGAGATTCTATTATTTAAATTGTTTTAATCAAATGTAATGTGGTTCAGTTAAGTCTGGGTGGTATTAAATCAGCGTAAAACAAAATTCTACCAGGTCAAAGTAGTGGACACGTACACTTTATTTGACCTAATTTAAGAAAATGTGTTTACGTGTGATGCTGATGCTGTGCTTCCAGTGTGCACGTGTGTCGTCCACAAGCGCTGCCATGAGCTCATCATCACCAAGTGTGCCGGGATGAAGAAGCAGGAGGACACACCTGAGGAGGTACAGGCAAACATCATAGTACACAGAGAGTATGTTGGTAATACATGAAAAGACTTGAAAATGAATTGTTTGTTAATAAAGAGTTTATTACCTATCCAACACACACAAAGTGAATCAGAAAAACAGAATATGGACAGAAGCACTCAGGCCTTTTGTGAATAAATCTTCTACTTAAGTTAACATGTGTACACTGTGTACTAACACTCCAGCCGAAATGCATTATTCCTCCGATAATGCGACAATTACCTCTTTGTAACACCGTCTGTGTGTTTGCGTGTGTCTGTGTGTGTCTCCCTCTGTAGGTGGGTTCACAGCGGTTCAGTGTTAACATGCCCCATAAGTTCAGTATTCACAACTACAAGGTGCCCACCTTCTGTGACCACTGTGGCTCCCTGCTGTGGGGCCTCATGAGGCAGGGCCTGCAATGCAAAGGTTAGTTCCGGTGCAGTGGGGAATTTACACCATCGGCTCACATGCGATGCATTTGAGTGTCAATGTGCTGAAGTCAAAGACTGGATAAAAAAGACGAATGTTTATTTTTTTATGAAAGCACTTAAGAAATTAAAAGTTCAATTTTCATGACAGGTAAATAATAAATACCAACACATGCCTTTGTATCCCTGCCAAGAAGTGTTTCATCCTGCTTGTTTCCTAGTGAGTTGAAAAACAATGGTTAAATGTTGGCTCATAGGCCAGAGAACAAGGGAATTCGTTTTTGGAGCACATCCAGGATTTTGTATTACATTTAGAAAAAATCTGCTTTGTACAAGTGTTGCTCAAAATCAGGTATGATCAGGTATCATCCTATGAGTATCTGTCTGCTTGTATACATATTTGTTCTATACTAAGACATGTTTTTAGTAGTCAATTTAAATGTTTAGTCAAGTTACATTTGAAACATTTGATGATTCTAGGGACCTGCTGCCTTTCAAATGTTTAAAGTAAAATCAATAATAATACTGTTTAATGTTATATTTTGAGTTGTGTACTGTTGTTTGGACCAAGCAAGCTATTATAAGAGGCCACCTTGGCTTTCAGATTTTTTTTAACCCCAACAAATGTATTAAGAAAAACATTTTTTAAAAGATGAATGGATAATGACAATTGATAGATGCAATTCTATATACAGTAAATTCAGCATCTAAAGAGGTAAGACATGCTGCAACGTGTGAGGTTTTCACTCTCACAGCTGTTTCCAAAACACCATTCTAGTGTTTTACTGGCTGAAGTTAAGTTATCATAAATAATTTAAATCTTTGATATATTAACTTAACTTTATATTTCCAAAGGTAAAACCCATGGGTACACAGGTACAGTATGATTTATAAGTCTATGGTAATTGAATGAACACCAATTTGCTCTTGATTGCATTTGCCAGTGGAGTTTGATGTCTTTAACTAAAAGGCAACATTTGTATTAAAAGGCCAGTATTTCCTGGGTTAAACTGAACCATTTCCATGTGTTTCTGTTGTCCTGCAGTGTGTAAGATGAATGTGCACAGGCGGTGTGAGTCCAATGTAGCTCCTAACTGCGGTGTGGATGCCCGAGGAATCGCCAAGGTCCTGGCTGACCTCGGAGTCACGCCTGACAAGATCTCCAACACCGCACTGCGCAGAAGGAAGGTAACAAGTCGTTCTCACAAATACAAATATTTCCATTGATATTTACAGGTTTTATTTCAACATTTGAAACATATTTTGTAGTTTATACCAATCATTTAGTTATTTTTGATTTCTAAATAAATTGTACCCTTTCTAAATAAATCCCTTGTTAAATATTGAAAAAATAAAAACCTGTTTCCCTGCTGGTACTTGCCCAGATTTGGCAACAAATTCGGGGTCTCATTTAAAAAGCAATCAGTAATGACAGATAGCAATCACATGTGTACAACGGCGAATTAAGGACATTTTAAAAAAAAGAATAGAAGCTATATAAGGGATTTACGGGCTAAAATCACAATTTGTTTTGCTAAAAATGAGTTCAAATCATAATTTGATAAGGTCTGCGGCATGATAAGGTTGACCCAACCTTGCAAAATAGAGCAACGTGCTTCCTTGAAAAACAAAAACACAACATTTCCAATTATCTATGTGTTATCCATTAGGATTTTGTGCGTTACATACATACATATTCCAACATATTTTGGATGAACTGATTATATTTCGGTTGTCTCATGTTAAGGTCACTGGGACTTCACTAAACACATGTGTGTCTATTATCACTGAAGCATTTCAATGCTAATAATGACAATTTAACAAAAATATAAAATACAATAAAATTACGTGATGACATTTTGGAAAGACATAGATGCAAACTGTGACCGGACTGGTTGGCGGAGGCATGTAGCTGGAAGGCTGTAACTACAAACTCTGAGATTAAGTTATTTTTGTACAATTATGAGTTTTTTCTTAATATACCATTTAAACGTAAATGTATGGCTTTGTAAAAAAAATTGTTTATCCTGCTTCAGTGTATTTTTTGGAGATGCAAAGTAACTCCCTTTAGCTGAGATGCTGAGATTGATCTCCCTGACTCATGTAAAGGATTTGAAGATGTTGTGTTCCCCTCTCTCCAGTTGACTCCAGGGCAGGACCCTCCCCAGTCTCCTCCTGAGCTCTCCCAGACTGAGGACAACAGCTTCAGCCAGACAGCTGTCCCCACCTCCCCCTCACAGCAGGGTAACGCTGAACACAACACACACTCAGTAAAACAAAACACAGCTTTGTCATAAACAGGCATTTCAAAGCTCTTTGGGGTGCATTCTTAGCAGCATGTGGTTTTAACGTGTTCATTTGACCTGTAAGAGGTAGTGTTTCCATTTCAGAAATAATGTTGATTCTCTCTTTAAGAACTCAGTGGTTGAATGTGGTGTTGTCCTTGTAAATATATACTTACATTATCAAAGAATTATGCCCCACCGCCTACAACCATTTGTTTGTCACAGTTAGTCATCGTCCTCTCACACTTTACAAACCGTGAAATAAAAGTTTACTTTGTCTATTGTGGAAGATATCCAATTTTTTATTTTCGTTAATGCAGCCTAATGTTGAGGAACAAAAACACAACGCACTGCTGCTGTTTGACCACCCTGATCAGGTTAACTGTAACTGAGTCATCCCAGGTTTCAACATAGGGTTAGGGTTAATTAGGGTTGATCATTATTAATCTAATCATCTTAATTATAATGAAATGTTAGATTTGAACAATAAGCAGCATCTTTTTAAAAACACATTGCACAACGGGCTGACTGTAGAAAAGACACTCCGCCTGTTTTCGCTGATGTCTTATTATATGCTTTTCCGTTGACACCCACAGACTTGGCACAGTTAGTGCGCCTGCAGGACGCGCTGTCGCTCGACCAGCAGGGACCCCAACACACCTCCTCCTCCTCCTCCTCTTCCTCCTCCTCCACCACCTCCTCCTCTTCCTCCTCCTCGGCAGGCAGGGAGAACGGACAGATCCAGAGAAGGACCCTCAAGGACTTCAACTTCATCAAGGTTCTCGGCAAAGGCAGCTTCGGCAAGGTGCGGCCACACGGAGAAGGCGTTTGAGGGGGATGTTTGTTTGTTTACTGCTTATTATGTTCATAATTGAAACAGTGTTTTTTTAACCGCCTGTTCATAATTATTCATAATAGGCATCAGGGACCAGAATAGAACAATACACGTCAATTATGTTGTACGGAGGCAGATGTCTTTACACGTTACATTTCACTGCATACCAAACCAAACAGCAAACCACGCTTTTAAAGCTTTACAACTTTAGTTTATAACACTGCATTTATCAATATTTCTATATTAACAACTAATAAAATGACTAAACGCAACTCTGCAGTTCCTCTATAAAGTGTTTTAGCACCCATTGGTTTGTTTTATTTTCTGTTTTAGTCCACTCTAACCACTTTTATTATGCTTCTTTCTAGCAGAACGCAACTGTTTTTAGCAAAAAAACAATGTAAACTAGCAGCAAACAGCTGGTGAAGAGCTAAAGACTAAAGTGGACACCAACAACGTCCGTTCTCTAAATGGCTGTAAATGCATGCTAAAGTGTCTGTTGGTTGTGTAAATAAATAGTCAACCATGTTCTATCTTTGTATTTACACCTTGATGTCCTTGAACACAATCAGTACTTGAATCTTTCAAGAACACCTATTTTTATCCTTCATGTCCTATTTTCCATAAACTGAATGGAGCATTTTATCAGATGTTTATCAGGGCAAACTGTTTTTACCGTGCAGCCTTCGTTTCCAACTATCATCAGTTTTAAACAGTTCAGATTCAACTGAACCTCCTGACTTGACATCTCCTTATTTCTTTTTTTTCCAGGTGATGCTGGCGGAGCTGAAGGGGACAGAGGAAGTTTTCGCTGTCAAGGTCTTGAAGAAAGACGTGATCCTGCAGGACGATGACGTGGACTGCACCATGACCGAGAAGCGCATCCTGGCCCTTGCCCGCCGACACCCCTACCTCACCCAGCTGTACTGCTGCTTCCAGACACGGGTAGGAGCGCCCGGCAGGCACACACACACACACACACACACACACACACACACACACACACACACACACACACACACACACACACACACACACACACACACACACACACACACACAGATGGGATAGTTTGATCATTTTCTCTGTCTCATACTTTGTCTTTATCTGCAGGACCGTTTGTTTTTTGTTATGGAATATGTGAACGGAGGCGACCTGATGTTCCAGATTCAGCGATCCAGGAAGTTCGATGAGCCTCGCTCTCGTTTCTACGCCGCAGAAGTCACCTCAGCCCTCATGTTCCTGCACCGTAACGGGGTCATCTACAGGTAAACACCCCCAACACCACCTTCCTCTTTTTCATCCCAAGACAAGTCTTTGTGAAGCTTGAAATAACTAATAGATTCTTCATAGTACTCACATTCGGTCTGGTGTTAGAGGTCAATCCTCATTGGTAAGTTCAGAAAAGTTACAAATATTTGAAGGCTATAAAAAAAATTGCGAATAGTTCTTATCTTCTCAGGAGCATACCAGAAGGGGCATGACAACATGGTTCACACTTACATTACGTGGTGATTCTCAAGTTTTTTTCACATTGCTTGCTCACTTCTCCCTGAGAGTCCAACTATAAACCAGATGGTGCTCATTCTCTCTCTTTGTGTCTTCCTCTCCCAGGGATCTGAAGCTGGATAACATCCTGTTGGACGCAGAGGGACACTGTAAGCTGGCAGACTTCGGCATGTGCAAGGAGGGCATCAAGAACGGCGTGACCACCACCACCTTCTGTGGCACGCCTGACTACATCGCCCCTGAGGTGAGCTGAGCTTTTCACAGGACGCTGAACGTTATATTTCTGTTGTCTTAGTACATTTACGCAGTTGAATGTCACTGGTACAGCTGAAGCTCAGAGTTATTTCCTTATCTATTAATCTGCCAATGTTTTTGAAATTTAAGCGATCTTTTTTCTAACTTTGTTCCTATTCCGTTTTTTTGTCTTTCCTTTCCTTGATTTTATCATTCCTTCATTCTGCCTTTTCTTTTCTCAAATTGGAGCCGAAATAACTACAGTTTTAGTTTTTACTTTAAATAGTTTTACTGGTAACTTTTACAAACATGTGTAAAGTAGTTATTTTACCAACCTGATGTGGCTCCTTCCTTTTTTCTGCCATTGAAGCTATACATTATGTTTTATTTTGTCCCTCTTGTTGTTTTCCTTCTTTAAATGACCTAGTTCAGCTACAACAAATGTGATAAACATTAGAAGTTATTCAGTTGCAATGCCAGCGTCTGTAGAGTATCTGCGTTGTAGTATTTTGTATTTGCTGTCCTCCATGTTGACCCTTGTGTTGCTGGCCTCAGATCCTTCAGGAGCTGGAGTACGGAGCCTCGGTGGACTGGTGGGCTCTGGGCGTGCTGATGTACGAGATGATGGCCGGGCAGCCTCCGTTTGAAGCTGATAATGAAGATGACTTGTTCGAGTCGATTCTCCATGACGACGTCCTCTACCCCGTGTGGCTCAGCAAAGAAGCAGTTTCTATCCTCAGAGCGGTAAGAGTCTTTTCGCCGTGACACACCACTTCCAACTTTTTCTTTACAGGATTAAAGTTTTTAGTTAAAGGCCAATTAAATTACCTCCAAGAGTGCATATCCTCTCCTGCAGCAGGACCTCGAAGGCACATTTTAAATAATTTAGATCAGTAGATTTTCCCAATCAGATTATCTACTGTAGGGAAATGCCCTGTTTGGAACTTGTTTCTAATCCCATTACTTTGAAGACTTTTCAATACCAAGACAGCATGGATACAAAGTGGCAGTTTTTGGACATGTTGGGTTAATGAACTGTCACTTTTTTACTCTCAAATACAACCATCCAACTGAGTAGAAGAGCTTAAGTTAGTCAAAAAACACATTTCGGGATTTCTTTTTCGTTCTGAGAAGGTCTTTCGACAATAATTTGATCTCTTTTTAAATATTTTCGGGAATCATAAAGAACTCGTCTATAGTTCTAGATTAAAAAAAAACGTATTGTAAATAAAAAAATGTATATGCCCTTTTTATATAGCACACAAAATAAATAATATATTTATATAAATATATAAATATTTGGTTCAAATGAATTAAAGCATTTTGTCATTCCAGGTATCTTTGTCTAGAAAAAAGAACCAATTCAACATATTTTTTCATCCAGGTGTTTAAAAGTGTTTTTTAGGTGTTTTTCTACTGTACATACCAAATGTTTATTTCCTTCTGAAAATCAGATGCTCCAATATTTGACCTGAAATTAATGCTAATACATAGGAGGCGCTTGCTAGGTTACATATTTTTTTATTTGACACACTTTCAAAGGCTAGATGTTTTGTATTGTCCTTTTTCATATTCATATGTCTATCCTCAGAGCTGCACACGCTCAGATCAGACTCATTCAAAATGCACTCAACGCAGTGGTGTTACGATCCTCTGTGCTCTGATACCGAGGAGAATAAAAAAGTCAGTCAAAGAGGTGAAGGTAGTAACAATGTGATCATAAAATCATAGATCCTGAAGTGCTCTTACAATACTGAACAGACTACAGAACAAAACAGACACAGCTCTCAGTCACAGTAAATAAATAACACCAGCACTCTGCTGACCTGTTTCATCTCTGTTTGTGCCGCGGAGCCATTAATGCCTCGGCTCTATTATTAGCACTGAAATGCTTTTTGCTCAACCCCATCGTTCTGCTTCTGCCCTCATCATTTTATGCAGGAAACCACGGCTCAAGCAGGGTTGGTTTTTTCAGAAGATATATTTGGAAATCAAAAGTGTGTATTGTGTTTGTTTGTTTGTTTTTAGTTCATGACTAAGAACCCGGCCAAGCGTCTGGGCTGTGTGGTGACGCAGGGCTGCGAGGAGGCTATCAAAACCCACGCCTTCTTCAGAGAGATCGACTGGGTGCTGCTGGAGCAGAGGAAGGTCAAACCACCCTTTAAACCCCGAATTGTAAGTAACATGCACACACACACACACACACACACACACACACACACACACACACACACACACACACATACATACATACCAAGTATACATCACTTCAGGGGACATTACATTGACTTACATGCATTTCCTGGAGACTTATCCTAACCTTAACCATAACCAACACATGCCTAACCCTAACCCTTACCCCTTACCCTAATCCTAAACCTAACCAAGTCTTCACCCTAAAATTAATGATTCCCCTCATGGGGACCTCCAATTTGTCCCCATAAGGGAGGCGAGTCCCCACACGTGACTGTGTAAACAGATGTAGGTCCCCACAAGTATAGTAATGCTAGGCCACACACACACACACACACACACACACACACACACACACACACAGTTTTATTAACTTTAAATCTAATACAACTCTGACAATCTATTGGTTTCCATATGGATGCATGTATTTTACATGTAAGGCAATCATTTAGATTTCTTTCTGATTCTAACAAAAAAAATAACTCCAAGATTTAAATATTTTTGGAAAATGCAGAATGTAAAGATTCTATTCTCTACACATCAAAAAGTATTGTGTGTCCTGCGGCCTGAACACGCAGCTTGCCGTAAAACACGGTGAGAACATCTCACAAAATGTCCTCAAAAGAGAGGAAATGCAAATAAGCCACTGCGTATGTCTCCTGTCCTCAAATCACACTTATTCTCATTTATTTTTGATTTTATTAAATTAATATAGGGCTGTTTTGTGTAAGGAAAAAGTTCACCTCTGTTGCATTCAAATAGCTTGTCTTATTTTACATAAAAATCCTTCCAGGAAAGAAAGTATTGTTGTTATGGTATCACGTTGTCTCGGAGCGGCTATGGAAATATCTCCAATCAAAATATTGATGTATGAGGAAGTAAGAAAGAAAATTAATAAAAATAAATAACTACAATCTGTTATGCAGTACAAATACATTCCCATCCTGTTGGTCATTGTATTGGCCCTTTAATGATACATTCACAAAGAGCAAGCTGGTCATTTCAGAGTTTTATTTTAATACATAAATGTCACATTAGCAAATACGCTCTCCCAGTTAGCTGGGATGAGAGAAATACTGAATAAAAGATCAAGATAAAGAACCTTATATCTTTTATTTCCCCCCCTTAAACAGAGTTTAGTCTACATACATAACCTCATATATCGAGGGTCTCTTTCGGCCGCTGCTGCAAATTGATAGTTGAAAGCTGATTTTCAGGCAGAAAAAGACAAACTCAAAGGCAGATAAGCCTAATATAACACTTAAAGGCCTCATATAGGATAACCATAAATGAGTAGGGTTAAACTGGGATTTTAATCCCCTCATAGATTTATCTCCTGTTTTATAGTAGTGCCACACATGTAACAATGTCTTCACACAAAGGTAATGAGTGAAAGTCGTCAGAAGGTGTCGCTCTAATGTAACTTTTAAACACAAAAAGCTTGGTGAAGTTTCTTTCTCTGACGTCCTTCTCTCTCTGTGTGTGTGTCTCTCTGCAGAAGACAAAGCGAGATGTGAATAACTTTGACCAGGACTTCACCAAGGAAGACCCCGTGTTGACGCCCACGGACGAGGCCATCATCAGACAGATCAACCAGGAGGAGTTCAAAGACTTCTCCTACTGCGCCCCCGAAGAGGCACAGACCTAACGCACACACACACACACACGCACACACACATGCACACACACACACGCACGTACACACACACACACTCACACACACACACAAACATACACTCACACACACACTGATCCAAGAAAACAAAATCCTACACGCACGTATGCACACTTTGCTGACACTTATACATGTGTAGAACCATAAATCCCTTTACAAAACACACACACACAGTCCTTTACTTTTAAGCTATTGGTTGTTGTTACTTTTTGGAATATTCTTTACTTGCATTGTGTTGTACTTGTTGCCTGGGTTTATGAATATAAATATGACTATGAATATACACATCCACACATGCTCTCACACACACACTTTAAATGCTGATTTACACACAAACCAACACTACAATCTTGAACTTTACTCTAACACGCTCACTGCACATGCTCAGACAACCCAAACACACACACACGCAGACACACACGCGCACACATACACACACTCTTACACTGCTTCTCTCCCCGGCACCAGGACTGTGCAGTGGGTGCTGGGCAGAGGCCTGTATATAGCCTGTGTTGAGTGGCTGTATTGTGTTGGTATCGTCTGCTAGTAAAAGAGAGTCGTGGCGCATGGACAAGCACCCTACCTGTGTTAATACTGTCCTTATTGTGGACCAGTTAGGGCCAAATACCCTTGTGCAATACCCTGACTTTCAATATATTTTATTTGTTGTGATATTTTTGTCTTTTTTTTCTCCTCAAAATGTGCAGTATGATTGAACTGTTGCGCTCATCATCCTCCTGTCTCGTGTGTATAAAGTGAATGTCGAGCTTACAAGTTACAGGCTATTCAACTAATTATGTGGAGCAGAGTGTTACAGGCGGCCTGTGTAGCAGCGTAACGCCCGATTTCCAGCTCTGTCATCCATCTGCTACTCAGAGTGCGTGTCTGCCCGTGGGCGTTTTCTTTTTTTTTTGTCGTGAATGTACATTTTCGTACGTGTGAATGCGTGATTTTTTTTTTTCTTGCTCCTTGTTGGTGTGTGACTTTTTGTCCTCAACATTTCTGTTTCTATAGTTACCATCAGTGTTTTCAGCCCCCCCTCCCTTTCCTTCCCTTCCCTTTCCTGCCTCCATCAGCCATCTCACTCAGCCAACACCACTCTGACATTTTCATTTTCAAGAATGGCTTTTCTTTCTTATTGCTATCTTTCTTTTTTTATTATAGTTATTATTATTATTATTATTGTAAAGTGTATCTGGAGGAAATATTTGTCTATAATACTATAACTATACTATCATAGGTCTGTTACAGCCGGGCGAAAATAAATGTGGAAAACCAGCAGCTGAATTACCTCTCATTTCAATCACACACATAGACAAAAGCACCACATACAGACTCTCTCCTTCGCCTGCTCCTTCTTCTTCTTCTTCTTCTCACTCTTTCTTACAAACACACATGCACACACAGAGGAGGACTGTTGGCGCGCGTACTGTACAGTGATCTGAAGGCGAGCTGGTGGCTCTGTGTGCAGTAGAGTCGGTGTGTAGTGAAGCTTTGTGCACCCAGGGGTAGGGCTGTTCCTGGTCACACTATCTTACTCTGTGCCAAAATGTAGTGCAACAGCCAGGCTAGTCCTGTCTGGTTGGATTCCAATAAAAACACTGAGCTGTCTACATCACTCCACCGTGTCGTCTTTCCTTCCTCGTTTTTCAAAAATTGATTTCTCTGCATGCTAGAGGCAGATCTGTTCTGTGTGGGATGCTTCAAAGTTTGTGTGAGAGCAGAAGAAAGGGGAGGGGGGAAGTTGAGAGAGGGAGGGGAGGCTGATGCTTTTCCTGGCCAGCTGACCTATCATCATGCTCGCCTTTGGGGGTTCCTGTAGGTGATGCACATGCTGAGGGGAGAGGAGGCACTCGCTGCTGAAGTCATCTGTGCTGCGGGGATCACTTGCCTCGTGACATTTGGCAGCACTAATTGCCTTTCTGAGTAATTAGACTACCTGTGATGGTGTAAAGTTGTAGCGAGGAGATTCCCTGCTGTGCTGTGAACTCCTACAGCCTCCATCTCGCTGAGCCACCATGGCCCCGGATAGAGACGCCTGTTGGACACGATGACAACCGACAAGGAGAAGAGAAGGTCAGTGTTGCATCTTTACAGTATGTTCTGAAATGCTTTTGAAAAACATTCCTATTTATTTATTTTGCTTTAGTTTAATTATTTTGTGCAAGTTATGTCGGTGAATGAGGTGATGAGGTCAGCCCAAAAACGGTGTGGCCACGGGGGCATCTGAATCATGACCACAATGCACTGCTGAACTTCCCTCTCTGTTCATCAGAGGAACTATTCACCTCCTTTAAAGACAAGTAAAAGTAACAACAGCACATTGGAAAAATACATGTAAAACTATGAAGTACAACTTTGAAAATAAGCTTTACTGTAGCTGTAAAAACCTAATCTATAAAACGTCAAAGTAATTATGCTTCTGGAAACCAAAATGTTTTGATTTTGAAGTCTCCAGCGTCATCTTCGTTGAAGTATACCGTGTTTCCATTTATGTGGAGAAATTCTCTTCAGTCATGCGATAATGTTACTGAGAAGTTGTATCAGTTTAGAGATCATGCTGAAGTTAGAATCTGAATCTGCAAAGTTGCAGTTCGTGGTAAGCCAAACTTTTAGTAAAAAGTAAATGAAAGTACTTTTTGAAATTTAGTGAAGTAAAAAACCGAGTCCCTCATAGAGTGTTACAGTAAATGAACCTTGCTTGGCAATTCTAACTTAGACTCATTGAAAGTATAAACATCTATGAATTCATACAAATAGCTGTAACAAAACACAAACAAAGAAGACATTTCTGTTGTACTCTGTAATTACAACGTTTTTTAACAGTTAATCTATGTTATAATGCAGTGAGTTTTATCAACATGACTTTAGTTTTGAGAGTTTGTTCTCGCCTTCTGTCCTCTGCAGGGCGATCAGCCGGGAGGCGGCCAGACGGAGGCGACGGGTGGAATCTGAGGTGTTTGAAGATTTGTCTCGCCTCCTGCCGCTCCAACAGTCTGTCCGAGATCACCTTGACAAGCCCTCAGTGATCCGCCTCACTCTCAGCTACATCCGCATGCACACACTGCTCACAGGTACAAACGGGCCTCACACAAGCATCACACGTGTTGAAGATTTTACAATAACGGCGTAAACATCTAAGACCTAATCATAAGACGGGTTTCTAAATCATACAAAAGCTAGCAAGAATATATATTTACGCATTTATTTATTATCAGTTTATACTTAAATAAATACTGCAGTATATTTTCGCATTATTAAGATAAAAGGTTATAGAGAGGGCAAAGAATGCCTACTTTCTGCCTCACAGTTCAGTTCCTTAAAATCAATCGTCATAGATCACTTAGGTTAATTATTTTGAAAAAATATATTTCCATTACTAATTTAAAGATGCATTATTATTAAAAAATATATAATCCCAACCAAAAACCTTTTTGTACTTTAAATACAAATAGAAATGAAGTAAGTTATGAAACAAGATAACACCAAGGGGGATCAATCCATGAAGAGTCACATTCAAATCTCAAATCAATATTTGATAAGTTCCTTCAGGTTTGCAGAACATTTGGGAACTTGTACAGATCCTTTCAATGTATTACATTTGAATGGTGAAATTGTGTGCACCTCTAATAAGTATTCTGATTTATAATTGAAATGTAACAATATGTTCTGCTGTGGAAAAAAAACACTTGTGATAACCTGTGGTCACAGACCGGCGGGTTTGAGCGAGTGTTAGACTGAGGAAGTCCTCAGCATGACACACACACACACACACACACACACACACACACACACACACACACACACACAATATGCCACATAATTTGTTCGTAGCTCCAATGAATGTTGCACGCACTAAACATGTATATTGAGGTAATTTTTCAAGAAAGGGACTCATTGACAACAATTCATAAATAAATCAGACAGCACTATAATTCATAAATCCCTTCCTTTCTCTCGCTGTTTCAGGGAAGACAGGGACCAAAGCAGAGGCTAGTCACAAAGTAAAATGTGGACAGGTGACAGATGGTCAAATGATTCGGCATGAGTTCAACGGAGGATATGGCGAGGAAGAGGAAAAAGAAAGGTATGATGCAGACGCCTCGGAAGAGACAAACATGTACCTGAGGATCCTGGAGGGATTTCTGATGGTCTTGTCCACAGAGGGAGACATGATCTACCTGTCTGAGAACGTCAGCAAGTACATGGGCTTGACACAGGTACACACCCACACACATTTCTACACAAGATAGTATACGTAATGGTACATTTAGGATGCAGGATTTGCATTTAAATATGTACTTTAAATCTTCTGACAGGCTGAGCTGATGGGACACAATATTTTTGAGTTTTCCCACCCCTGTGACCACGAAGAACTCAGAAATAATCTACGTGTAACAGCAGGTGTGTGTTGAGAATGTGACAAGAATTGATGCTCAGTTTTGGTTGTACTGTGTGTTTTTTTAAGGGGAACATACATATTTAAGCAGGTTTATCTCTTCAACTTTTTGAATTGCTTGTTTTTAAGAGGAAGTTTGGAGCGGTGAAAAGAGGGACTTTGTCATGAGGATAAAAAGCACTCTGACACACAAAGGAAGAAGCGCCAACCTCAAGTCAGCTACGTGGAAGGTTAGTGAGAAAACAATACCACACAAAAACCTGAAGCACCACACAGATTCTCATCTCTTTTTTTGTCTGAGTTTAAATCCCTCTCTCTCTGTTTGCTTAGGTTCTCCACTGTCAGGGCCGATCCAAGGTGTGTGTCGCCCCGTCTTCAGTTTCCTGCCTTCTGCTGACCTGCCAGCCTCTGCCCCTCTCGCACACACTCCTCAGCACACAGACCTTCACCAGCCAGCACAGCATGGACATGAGGTTCACATACTGTGACCAGAGGTGATTTACACAAATAAATACACACAATTATTTAAATATGCAGCTTTTATGCAGCTACCTACTGTCTTGTACGTGTTTGTACGTGTCTGTACCTCTTAGTACGTAACCACTTAGATGTAGTGTTACCCTGCTCATGTTCTACTTTACCACAGTGGTGTAAAAATGTGTTTAAAACGTGGAATCAATATGACTTTTATTTGTAAGGAGGGAAGAATTTAGATTGTATTTTGAAATGTAGGTTGTGAAATGATCACCAATCTGGGGTGAACCTTGGTATTTGAGCCTTTGCAGAACATTTAAATGCACAATAACCTATATGACACACTACAGGAAAAGGAAAACCCCAACAAGCATAATAGAATTTTGGGAGAAATGTATTAAATGATGCACAAGACACGTAGAATATTTCCATTCCATGGATTGAGATTGAATATTTCTAAATGTTTTATAGTCATAACGCTTTCTTGAAGATCCGAAACAAACTGATACAGAATATACATGTCTATGGAATCTTGATTTTAAGGGGTTAATTTAGCGTGACAATAGAAATTAAGAGAAATATAACTTCTCCTTTTACCTTCTCCTTTTTGTTATTTTAGACCTACAATTGCATAATATCAGTGAGCGTTAATCCTATCTGTGGCTGCTGCTGAATAAAAAGGACATTTTAAAGATGAGCTTATCAGGCAGAATATTTGTAAAACAAATTCACAGTGTTGCTTCTTCATGTGTTTGCAGAATGACTCTGCTTCTAGGTTACAGCACTGAGGAGCTGCTTGGCCGCTCCATCTATGATCTCTGCCACACACGGGACACAAACTGTTTGACCAAAAATCATTTCAACTGTAAGTAGAGATGCACAGACACATTAGACCCCTGTAAATACCTGATTTCACCTCTCTCTCTCTCTCACTCTCTCTCTCTCTCTCGCTCTCTCGCTCTCGCTCTCTCTCTCTCTCTCTCTCTCTCTCTCTCTCTCTCTCTTCTCTCTCTCTCTCTCTCTCTCTCTCTCTCTCTCTCTCTCTCTCTCTCTCTGCAGTGTGTTTTAAGAGTCAGTCGGTCAGCGGTCGGTACAGGATGCTGGTGAGAGGTGGAGGTTATGTCTGGGTGGAGAGTCACAGTGCCGTCATCCCCAACGCTCACTCCTCCAAGTCCAGGCCCGGCGCCAACCAGCCACTGTGCATCCTCTGTGTCACCTATGTCCTCAGGTGTGTGTGTGGCCTCTGGTTTAAAGCTACTTTCACAGTTTCAACTCACTTTATAGAGCTATATCTATCTAAATAAACATTTTGTCACCTTCATTTATAGCCATGTTAGTGGTGTGGCTCTTGGGATGGAAATGCTGTTCAATCTACGTCTTAGGTCCAGATAGAAAAATATTTTTGATGGATTGAATTTTGATCATTGAAACAGAAGGATGAATCCTGCTCACATTTGTGTTTCTGTGTCAGATTTCTAATCAAATATTGGTAAAAGTTTCCCTTTGTCCAATACATTGTATTGCCTAACAAATACTCCCATAAGCCTCAGCTGTATTTTGTGTTAAGTGGTTATTATCAGCATGCTTACAGGCTAAATTATTGTAGTGAATATGATGAACACATCTGCTTAACACTGCCTTGTTTGCAATTATCTCGATGCATCAATGCATTGTGCTTATTGTGCACTAAAACATATTAAATTCAGCTGCAAAACAACAACATGCTTAAGATAAGAAAAATGCTT